TTGAGCCTTGATGGCGTGCCGGCTCTCGTAGGTGATGTCGAACTCGGAGAGTTCTAGCGACCATTTCAGCATGCGTCCAGCCATGTCGGGGCGGCCGAGTAGCTGGCGGATGGGCTGATCGGTGTGGAGCACGATGGTGTGTGCTAGAAAATAATGTCGGAGTCGGCGTGCCGCTGTCATGAGGGCTAGGGCGACTTTCTCGATCAGCTGGTATCGTACTTCTGGGCCGTGGAGAGCTTTGCTAGTAAAGTAAATGGGCTTTTGTCCTTCTCCGGCTTCGCTCACGATGACGGCGCTGACGGCCTCGTTGGAGACGGCCAGATATAAGTATAGGGTTTCGCCCGTTGCGGGGCGCGTCAGCACTGGTGGTTCGGATAGGACGCGTTTGAGGTGGCAAAGGGCTTTCTCACATTCGTCCGTCCATTCGAATTTGGTCTCCTTCCTGAGCAGTTTGAAGAACGAGAGGGCGTGTTGGGCCGATCTCGCGATGAACCGCGAGAGGGAGGCGAGTACGCCGTTGAGGGACTGGATGGCCCTCTTCGTGGTCGGCGTGGTGATATTGGAGAAGGCGTGGCATTTGTCCGGATTGGCTTCGATCCCTCGTTCGGTCAAGTAGTAGCCGAGGAATTTACCGGCGCAGACGCCGAAGGTGCACTTTTCCGGGTTAAAACGCATGCGACATGACCTCGCGGTCTTGAAGACCTTCTGGAGGTGTGTCGCGTGGTCGTCCTCGGCGCCGGATTTGACGATCATGTCGTCCATATATACCTCAAGCATGTCCCCGATTTCGTCGCGGAAGACATGGTTCATCATCCGCTGGTATGTGGCCCCGGCGTTTTTGAGGCCGAAGGGCATCACGTTGTAATAGTAATTGCCTGACGCCGTCATGAAGGTCGTGGCTTGCTTATCGTGCTCGGCCATCGGGATCTGGTTGTATCCCGAGTACGCGTCCATGAAGGACAAGAGTTTGAAGCCCGCCGAGTTGTCGACGAGTTTGTCGATATTGGGGAGGGGGTAGGCGTCCTTAGGACATGCCCGGTTGAGGTCAGTATAGTCAACACACATGCGCCATTTTCCATTATTCTTTTTAACGAGTACAACGTTGGACAGCCAGGTTGAATACCGGGCTTCCGAAATAAAATTTGCCTCTAAGAGGTCTTTTACAGCTTGTTCGGCCGCTGCCGATTTTTCGGGGGACTGGCGACGTCGGCGTTGTACAACAGCCTTTGCGGTTGGGTTGATGGACAGCTGGTGGCAGGCGACCTCGGGGTCGAGTCCCGGCATTTCCGCGGCGCTCCAGGCGAAGAGGTCGGCATTCTCACAGAGGCAGGCTTGGAGTTGACGTTTCGCGAGGTCTGGGAGTCCTGCGCCTATCCTCACGGTTCTGCCCGGGTCTTCTCCGAGGGGAATGAGTTCGAATTCTCCATCCGGGATGGGGCGCGCTGGGTGTGAGGGTTGCCCGTTGACTCCGTCGGTCTTTGTTTTACTGTCGAGCTCGTCAGTGAAGCGACTGTCGAGCTCAACGGATCCGACCAGCTCCGTTGGTTTGTCCTTCGGCGTAGCGCTTGACGCTTTCTTTTTGGTCGATGGAGCGATGGAGTCTAGTCCTTTCAACGCGGCTTCGAAACATCTTCGAGCGGCTTCGATGTCTCCGTTGAGGGTTACCACGGCTCCCCTTCTCGTGTAGTACTTCATCTTCAGGTGGATGGTGGAGGGTACCGCGGTGAGTTCTGCTATCGTCGTCCTGCCCAGAATGCAGTTATAGAGGGACGGGCATTCGATGACTAAGAAACGGAGGCTGATGTCCCCAAGGTCTCGTCGTCGTCCCGTTGAACCCCTGAAGGTCGGAGCCTACGTAGGGGGAGAGGTTGGATTCGTCGAGCTGGAGAGTTGTGAACAGATGTGAGTACATGATGTCAACCGAGCTCCCGCCGTCGACGAGGAGGCGTCTGACGTCGAAGTTTTCCATCCGGGCACGTATGAGCAAGGGGATGTTGGAATTGGGAGATCCCCCGGGTAGTTCCTCGAGGTAAAATGTGATCGGGTTGGGGCGGCCTCGGAATTTGTCGAGCGTGCTCATTTTGCCTGAGTTGTTCGCGATGAGCTCGTCGAATTTCCTTTTCACAAATCCTATGGATAGACTCCTCGTGGCTCCATCAGAGATGACCATGGCTCTGGGGAAGTATTCCCACAGACGGCGCCACTGATCTGACCTGATCAGGAGGGAACGGGGTGGAATGCTGGCGGGCTCGGGGGTCGGTGATCGGCCTGGAGGGGCCGTTCCGCGGACAATGGTGAAGCAGTTTGCCCGTCCCTTTCGTCGGCTTCCGTCGAACGTGCCGTTCCTGTTTGCTTCCCGTTGGTGGCGACGTTGCTTGTGTTCGGCGGCTTGCCCTGCTCGTCTTAAGGGATGCACGTGCCCGGCGTGCCCGATTCGCTTGTTGGGTCGTACGTGGTATTGGGCCTGCCGAGGTTGGGCCCATACCGAGGTTGGGCCCATACCGGAACAATTTTGAATGCTCAAAAGTCTGGATAATGAGTTCAATAAGAGTAAAACATTGTCATCATCATCAAGTTTAACCTCAATATTTTACGAGTCATCAACAGTCTTGTTAAATTATGTATATTGATATACAATATATTTCCTCTACCATTTGAAATGATTTGATTTTTTATTTCAGATACAACTTTTCAGCTAACGACTTGGTTATATACAATTGTGAGATATTGGGTCGAACTTTAGTATGGAATTAAGCATGAGATTGAAGTCTGCTTGCATGATGTTGTCGCGAGTAATGTGTGTCGTAATCGAAGTTTGTTCTAACATGCATTAGTCAATATTGCTAGGTTTGTTAGCATGTTGAATTGGGTCTTACTTGTAAGCTCAATTGTTTAAGTTAGCTTGTACCCTAAGTTAGCTTGTAATGGGTAATTGTTAAAAAGCCCGTTAGGTTAGTGTGTTATTTCTCTTATAAATAGCATGTTAGTCTCTCATCTTGACATAAATAAAAATAGGAAGATAAAATTCTAATTTCAGGAGAGAGAGAGAGAGAGAGAGAGAGAGAGAGAGAGAGAGAGAGAGAGAGAGAGAGAGAGAGAGAGAGAGAGAGAGAGGTTATTTTATTATTCTTGTATACTTGTAATCTTGTTTCTAAGAGAAAGGAAAAAATAGCAGTTTACAATCAATTCTCGTTGTTTTTTATTGTTTTATCTTGTTTTCTTTGTTAACCCTAACTATTGTATGTTTCTTGATCATAAAGGAATCGTTTATATTTTGTTTCAAGAGATCCAATTCACAATAACAATGATTCAAACTTTATCTATAATCTGAAATTGTTGTCTCAAGAAAACTTCTAAATGTTACATTTAAAATTCATGGTTGATACGAACTAACAGAACAGTAATAAATGTAGTAGTAAAACAGTTATGAAAATATGAGGAAAAGAAGCTTTATTGATGAAAAATGGAAGACAAGTACAGAGACTGGAATTTTGACAATCCCAAAATGGGTTCAGAGCTAAGCTCTTATAGGATACTAGGGTATCCTATTCATTCCTTCAAGATCTAGCTGTAATCCAGCAATGATTATTCCCTCTACTGACTGCTTCTTATATTGTTGAAGTGTATTGCTCCTCTCTTTCATGTCAGCTCATAATTGTTAACTAACTCAGCCTTCAATTCCCTTTTTACCCCTTCTAGAATAAACTTTTTAAACTCTAAGACCACTAAAGGAGTGATGAATTAATTGTCCTGGTAATTGTAAATTATTATTACTGTTTCTATCGATGGTGCTCACCTGTAAACTTAACCCCTTTTTCTCTACAGTAGATACCACTTGTTGTGTAATTGAAAGGCTATACACACCAAAAATAATTATGTGTAAGACCAAAAATAATAACAATCAAAATAAATTATTTCAAACAAAAATTAATCTGACAAACAGAAGTACACGCATAATTTATTTATCGAGTTGGATCAAGCGGATATACTATTGGAAGAAGGAAATTCTCCAATGGGTTATACTTTAAGAGTTACTATAAGATATTAAAAAAAATAGCCTATCAAATTAATAAGAACATCTCTTATTTTTTATTCAACATCTTTTCAATCTCTCCTTCACTCAATGTATGAATCATATAAAATCAATGTATTTAACTCCCTTAAATACCCCAAAGATGTTCCAATTCTTAGAACTAGCGTCCAGACGGGCACTCGCGTGCCCGTCTGTTTGCTTTTTTATTGCACACATATAAATATAAATGATATATTTTTACTTAATATTAATTTTACATGGAAGTTATGTAGAAAGTTATTAGTAGGAAGTTATATGAAAGATGATAGTACTATTTTAATGGAAGTTATTGTGTAAGTTATATATTTTAAAATAAGGGTAAATTTGGTATAAAAAAAAACTACACCAAAAACCAAGTATTGCCTTTATATATGTTATAGATAATAAATCCTAAGAATCCCTTTATTTATTCTCTCATGACTTCACCTATCTCGATTTCATGCCCAAAAAGAACTGAAAAAGTGTTTTTTTAATGTGTCAAGAGGAATGCAGTAGTTTTGAAAAAAATGCAGGAGCACTACATTTCCGTCAAACGCAATGTATTTAATTTATAAAGTATTACCAACAAGAGACAATTATTTTTTTTTAGATTATTAAATAACTAATGTATTTAGTTAATTATTTTTTCTTATTTTGATTTGTTTTGAGTTGCAACAATTTAAAAAAATAGTAACAAAATTTTTTACTTCCTTAAAACAATCTGCATTGCTATTAGCAATACTTTTCAATATGGTTACATAATTATATTATGTTGGAATAGCTAATGCATTTTGGTTCCTCCTTTTAATGTCCAACGACTACTACTTCTCTTCAACATCCTTTTGTAAAGAAAAAAGAAAGAAAACTTGACACAAAAACTAACTAGTGGAAGAGAGAGAAAAGTGTTTGATTGATCAACGTTGCTTGTTTGGTTTCGTAAATCAAAACCATGTCGAAAGGGTTATGGATCTCTGTGTGTTTTTTGTTCCATATCATTCTCCATTTCCACATTGCTACTTGTTTTTACCTTCCTGGTGTTGCACCCGAGGATTTCCACAAGGTTTCATTCCTTTGTTTTTTTCATTCAATGCAATTGAATTTCGTGTAACATTGTTATTTCTGAGAATTGAGATCTATTAAAAATATTCATATATCTTATGTTTCATTTGCATGGTGATTAGAATTGGTTTTTTCAAATCATAAAAACATATTTATATGTCATGTTGATGGATGACAGGGAGATCCATTGAGGGTGAAAGTGAACAAGCTATCTTCGACAAAAACGCAACTTCCTTACTCGTATTATTCTCTTCCTTACTGTCGTCCAGATCACATTGTCGACAGTGCTGAGAATCTCGGGGAAGTTCTTCGCGGTGACCGTATCGAGAACTCCCCTTACATGGTTCGGCACACGTTTCCAATCTTCCTGTCATTTAGTTATTGTATATGTTTAATAACGCGTAAAAACCATAACGTTGAAACAGTTTAAAATGAGAGAACCGCAGATGTGCAGCGCCGTTTGTCGACTAATTCTTAATGGAAAAACAGCTAAAGAGTTCAAAGAAAAGATAGATGACGAATATCGGGTGAATATGTGAGTTTCTGATGATGATGATGATGATGATGACCTTTGTTTTTCGCCGCTTATGTCTGCGTGATAAAAACCGTTGCATTGTTGCAGGATTTTAGACAATCTTCCTTTGGTTGTTCCTCTTCGACGACCCGATCAGGAATCTTCTTTAGTGTTTCTGCATGGCTTCCTAGTTGGTCTTAAAGGACAATATGCTGGAGTAAGTGTTAGATTAATGGTTAGATTAATGAATTTTTTTATGTCCTTTTGTTTCAATTTCATTTTGACCTTTTGTATACAAATTATGACAGAACAAGGATGAAAAGTACTTTATCCATAATCACTTAACATTTGTGGTTAAGTATCATAGAGATAGTGTGACAGAGTTTTCAAGAATTGTAGGCTTTGAGGTTAAACCCTTCAGGTTGTGTTATAATTATCTCCTTTTTTATAGTATATATTAGTCTTTGTTAATTTCTTAAATGTAATCACCCCTATGAAATATGAATACAGTGTTAAGCATGAATATGAAGGTGAATGGGATGAAAAAACTCGGTTAACTACTTGTGATCCGCATGCGAAAAAGATAATCTCAGGCTCCGAATCTCCTCAAGAGGTTGAAGACAATAAAGAAATTATATTCACCTATGATGTTGAGTTCCAGGTCAGTTCCGCAATTTTGTGGCAACTAATTGGGTTTTTGGTGTTGATGTCTCTTTTAACTGTGTAATCATCGTGCAGGAAAGTGATGTAAAGTGGGCATCGCGCTGGGATTCGTATCTTCTAATGACAGATGATCAAATTCACTGGTTTTCGATTGTTAATTCTCTAATGATTGTACTTTTTCTTTCTGGTATGGTGGCTGTGATAATGTTAAGGACGCTTTATCGCGATATCTCAAAGTATAATCAATTAGAGACCCAAGAGGAAGTTCAGGAAGAGACAGGGTGGAAACTTGTACATGGAGATGTTTTCAGAACTCCTTCAAACTCAGAATTACTTTGTGTGTATGTTGGAACAGGTGTTCAGTTTTTCGGAATGGTTCTCGTTACTATGATGTTTGCTGCACTTGGATTTTTGTCTCCCGCGAATAGAGGAGGGTTGATGACAGCCATGCTTCTTCTCTGGGCTCTAATGGGACTAATAGGTGGTTATTCTTCGGCGCGTCTTTACAAGCTGTTCCATGGAACAGAATGGAAGAAAATCACACTCAAGACAGCTTTTATGTTTCCTTCTATTGTCTTTGCAATATTCTTTGTGCTAAATGCTCTTATTTGGGGCCAAAGGTCTTCTGGGGCAGTGCCATTTGGTACAATGTTTGCTCTTGTTTTCCTATGGTTTGGTATCTCAGTTCCACTTGTGTTTCTTGGTGGGCACATAGGTTTTAAGAAACCTGAGATTGAGGAACCTGTAAAGACAAGTAAGATACCAAGGCAGATTCCAGAGCAAGCTTGGTACTTGGACTCAGTCTTCTGTATTCTAATTGGAGGCATACTCCCTTTTGGTGCTGTCTTCATTGAGCTTTTCTTTATTCTCACATCTATTTGGTTGCATCAATTTTATTATATATTTGGTTTTCTGTTCATTGTGTTCCTCATCCTTGTTGTTACTTGCGCCGAGATCACAATTGTTCTTTGCTACTTCCAGCTCTGTAGCGAAGACTACACGTGGTGGTGGAGATCATACCTCACTTCAGGTTCCTCTGCACTCTACCTTTTTCTATATGCCACATTTTACTTCTTCACAAAGCTTGAGATCACAAAACCGGTATCTGGAGTATTGTACTTCGGCTACATGCTGCTTCTTTCATACGGTTTCTTCGTCGTGACTGGTACAATTGGTTTCTATGCGTGTTTCTGGTTCACGAGGCTAATCTACTCTTCGGTGAAAATTGATTGATAAATCTCTTGGGAAGGTTTATTAAATCATTAGAATGTGGAATTGTTGGGAAGCTTCAGCAGCTCCTTTGTTCCCATATAATATCAGAAATTTTTTGTATAATTAGTATAGGTCACATTTTGCAGTTCTAATTTTGTTTGTTCAAATATATTGAATATCATATTCATAGTTAATATTTCATTCACTTCTCTTCCTACAAATATCCATTTTCTTTCTTTTTTTTCCATCATAGTGAATTTTTAAATTTATAGACAAATCAAATTCATCAATACATAAAGAGAAACCTATTTGAATCCAATCCTTATAAAACCAGAGTCATTTAAATCTCACTTCTACATATAGGCCAAAGAATGATATCAACAATTTTGTAGCAGTTGGTTTTTCGCAACCTCAGTGTCAGGCCTAACATGACAGCTAGTTGGTTTAATATTTAATTCAGAAGAAACCAGACACGTAGTACAACACTACTCGCAACTCAACCAGAATGTGGCGTGTAAATTTCACCATTTAACCTTGCATAGCAAAGTTCAAACTCGATAGTTAATAAATGAAAACATGCACTTTAATAGAGTAGTTACATCACATATCAGCAGTAAAGTCGGGCTCAGAAGGTTTCTGTAATTTCACCAAGTTCCCGGCACTCTTAGCAATACGATTGCGATGTACACCACGAAGAGCATTTGCAGCAAATCTTGAGGCCAATAAGGTGGCACCGAGACTGTATGAGCTGCCACCAGCATTGTTGTGAGTCAGTTCTGACTCCTCGGGTTCTTCCTTTCGACGAAGCTCCATAATTTTTCGTTTGGAATACCTGCGCCAAGCTGCTTGAATAAAGCATGCAGCCCAAGTTCTCCATTGTTGGGAGTAAAAGCGGAAGGTGTGTTGAACCTGTCTACTGTGGAGGCGCCTGAACTGACTGGCGACAAACTTCAACTCTTCAGCAGTTAATGCAAAAGCCTCAACTTCCATTAAAGCCTTAACTGTTCGAGTAGAAGATGGGAGGTTAGAGCCAGATTTGGGATCAAGTGCCCAAGTTAAAAGCTCCTCACCGCAGAAGTCTGCCTCTTTTAGAAAACTGCGATTAAAAAACCCACTCCTCCCACCATCTGTAGTGACACTCTCGAGCCGACCACGTATGATGAAAAGCATCTCATCAACCGGATCTCCTTCCCGCACAATGTAAGTACTCTCTGTAAATAAACACGGCTTCAGTCTCTCACATATGGCATCAAGCAATCTCTCATCCATACTCTCAAATAAAGGAACCTACAAATCCAAGAGAGGCGATTAATAAATTAACAAACTCAGATGTTTATAATATTTTGGGTACAAAGCACAGAGAAATAAAGAAAAATGTAAACTATCAAATTCAAATGGGGTGGATAAAATGGAGGAGCACCCGGGGATTTTGTGTGATTAAAAGGTACTACTCGAGCTAAAGGGTAAAATAATGTTGTATGAGGCAGAGTATTGGGCTGTAAATTGTCATCATGGGAGTAAGATTAGTACAACAGAGACTAGAATGCTACCCTGGCTATGTGGAAATACTGGTATTTTGCACGTTTGTGGAGTAGACTTGTAGATTTATAGTAAGAAGAGTAGATCAAATAGAGGGCAGCTCATTTGATATAGGCAAATTAATACCGAGAAAAACTATATAGGAAATTATCAAGAAAGACCTATAAACTAATAGTTTGGATACAAATATGATATATGATAGAGCATTGTAGCATTGTTAAGGCTTGGTGGTTGTTGTCTGGGAAGCACAGGATATATTCAATGTGATAGTTATACCATTACCACGCAAGGAATACTCACAACACTGTTTTTGACACATTGTTGAATATATTCATTATCATCATATTATTTTTTGAAAAATAAATTCAGTTAGTTAAGTTTATTTTTTAAAAATTTCTTTACTTTTTAGACAGTGAATCAATCAGAAAGAGTGTGTTCAAGAATTTGTTTTAAAGAGTGTTGTGTAACATTCTTCTTCGCCAAATACTGAACTACTGTAATTTACTATGTTGATTCTTTCATGTACAACTTCTTTGGTCCACTTTTTTGCAAGATAAAAAATTGGGTAAATTTTCAAGTGTTTGGAAGCATACCCTTCTAACTAAAGCCAGGCAAAGGTGGCGCTTAATGTCTCTTTGAAGATCCTTTGGAAGACTCTGAACCAAATTTTCTTCGTCTACACCACGTGTCGCCAACCACTTATACTGATCATATCGTCTCACGCGCTCTCTAAGCTCTTGTGGGAGCAGACGATGATGCATCCACTGTTCTGAATCACGTCTCTTGACTCTCATTTCCTCAAGCCTAATGGTAAGAGACTGAAGATATGTCTGTAGTCATATGAAATAGAAACCACTGTATCAGTTTTAAATAATATGCCCTTCATGATTTATGAACACACCCCTTGAAAGTTATTTACAATGCCAGTCAATGATAGGGAAAATTATTCAGAAAAAAGAAATAACATGCACTGCTCTGTCCTCGGTATCTACAAAGGATTTGTCCTTTCACTAGCTAATATCAAATGTACTTTTCTGATATTTCAATGTACCAGCCTCATTTCAATCCATTCCAACTAATTAACTAATCTACTAATGGACTTACAGACAAAATAATTGTCCTTATTCTATCCTATCGATACATCCCGAGAGCCAGACCTAGGTTGTTCTTCTGGAAACAAAGAAACAATACATCATTGACATGTGTTTCTTGAAATATGGAGCCTGCTTTACACACCCTAAAACAAGTTCGATTTAAGGAAGTGGTGCTAGTCTATTGTATCAAATGTAAGGAAGTAGCGCTACTCCATTGTGTCATAGACTGTTAAACATCAAAACAAATTCATGTTCCCCTTTTTAAGTAGCTTATCTTTATTGTATAGCTAATAGAACAAGTTCAATTATCTTAGGAAGTAGTGCTAGCTTAGTTGCTCCTTGTAAATTGCATGTGTCATTTATTGATATTATCATTGTAATTTCAAGGTAAACAAATTAAACATGTTGCTCGGTGGTAATCACTCAAGCATATTAAAAATAACATTCCTTTTCAATTCTCAGCTTGTATACTAAATGGACTCCCGCTTATTAATTCTCATAGCTTATGCGTGCAATGCATGCTTAAATATTTCAACAGACATTCTACAGCCAAATTTGTGAAAACTATTTATTTTTAATCCTCATTCTATAGTCATTTACTTTTTTAGCTCCTCATTTTTTTAAAAAGGTGAAAACTATTAGGGGCTAAAAAATGAACTTATCCCTAAAAACTAGTGTCTCTCCCAAGCCATAAACACTAAAGAACTGTGATGATCGAATGAACAATACCACAGAATCCTAGCTTCTTTACATCAGCCAAAACCTCTGAGATTAAAAGATTCTGGTGGAAATCCAGAGGACAGTCCCACTACATAACAGAACACCCAATATCATTCACGTTCTTATTTATAACATGTTAAATATAAGCTGATTTTTAAGTATACCTGCATGTTACCAATCAGAAGTGCAAAGAGGATAAGGCCAGCTATGGCTAATGCTATTGAAAACATAACCTCTCCAACGTAGGTGCTAGTTTGAAGCCCCTGGCCAAGTGTACTGCAGTGAAATAAATTAATAAACTAAGAGAATGAATTCGTGACTAATTTCAGTATCTTAAAATATAAAGCATCAAACATAGGAACACATAATATATCATTCTACACTAGATTGTTGAAAATAGAAAGCATGCCCTTTGGTCATTCCTACTGCTGAAAAGCAGCCTAGACGAAGGAAAATTAATTCCAGCAAGTACTGACCCAAAAAGTTAGGTCACAGAATGTTTGCATTGCACCTTAACATGATAAACATTTATGCTTTGGATATAAGATGGTAAAATTCAAGGACTGAGAACCAGTGTTGTTGATGGCGGACCATGGCGGAGAGCCTAAAACCCGACATTTGGTGTCACCACCATATCCGCCTATGGCGCCGCCATCCCTCACAAATTTGCGGTGAGCCAAAAAACCGCCGTCGATCTCCGCCGTGGCAGATATTCGACAACACTGCTCTGAACCATGTGTATGCAAAGTAAAAAAAAAAAAATCAAGTTACAAACAAAAATGTAACATGCACAGTTGATATGGTCTGTAACTTTTAAATCATTGAAATTATATCTTCTTAGAGAAAAAAGATTCTCTAGATGTCAAAATCGGATAGGAGATGTCCTATCACAAGTAGAAGTTAATTTTATTAATGGAACTGCATGGAAATACAAGGGAAAAGAAAGAATAAAGCTCCAAGATATGGAAGAACACGCCAATCAAAGCTTTAACGGCTCATGGAAAATAATAAAATGAATACCCAAGAGCCCTGAAAGTGTTTGTCAGATAAAAGAAGAAAATAAAGGCATTGCTAGATCAAGTGCAGAAGCAGAATATTAAACTATGTCTCTACTTGTGAATGTAGAAAGAATACAGGCAAATACAAATGGGTTTACTTACTTAGTTGGCATTTTCTGATTCCAAGAATCTTTTGATGTACTCTAGAAGTATCAGCAGTTAGTTTTTCTCCTGCCAGTGTGGCTAAGGTTAGCTAGCCTTCTCGGGACAGCTGGCACTGGCAGTTACACAAGAGTGTAGGATAAGTCTAAGGTGTGTGTAGGTTAATTACCCTATATAAAGGATTGTAATCTGAACTTTCTGTTCAGAAATTCATTTCATCATAGATAAAGAATTGTTTTCACATTTCTCTGTTTCTCTTTTAGTACTACATGTTAGCTTATTTGGTTGAAGCAACTTCTTTTCAATTTGAGGTTTTTCAAATTACAGTCCATGATTCTCATTATTGATAATCAAGCAGTATTACACATTGCATCTAACGAAGTCTTCAATGATGAACTAAACATGGAGATTGCTTGTCATTTTTATTAGTGAAAATGTTCTTTGAGGGGAGATCAATATATATTTGGGAATTCTAGCGGGCTATCTAGCTGATACCTTCACCAAATCAAGTAGAGGTACAAGAATATCTACATAGGACATATATGCTACAGTTTGAGGGAGGGTGTTGTGATACTTAAAATTCTGGCATGATACTATTACCTGGTGTAAATATTATGCTGTAACAAATAGGATAGATTCAGATCTATTTTTAGATTGAATTTATCCCTATAATCAAGGGATTTGGTTGTACATATTTATTAGCATAAATAAACACATTAAGAGAGTAAGTGATGGAAAGAGAGTGTTAGGGTGAGTGTTGCTAGCACTACTTAAGTTTTAAATCAATCAAGACATGCCACATACAAGAGAAACCTTGTATTTAGATCAGACAGAACATATATGTTGCAGTGTTTTGTTTTAATTGTTTTCACATGATGCGAGTGATGAAAATTAACAATGAAAATAAAATTAAATACCTCAAATTCTGAAGCCCCCACCATAAACAGTAACAGTACTTGGACAAGAACTTGTTAGATGAAACAATGCCGGATTTCAAGGCTTGTGTAAATATCCCATAGTCGAAAGGTGGATTATCATTATCTGTAGAGCACTGTGATGTAAGAATAGCTTCACTTTTGTTCTGCCAGGAACTATAACCTTCCATGTATTGGTTGCCACAATACAAGAATTTCTTGTTGTACCCATTGTCACTACAAGCCTTCTTCCAGCAAAAGTCATTGCGCTCAACAGCTAATAAGTACCAAAACGACCCAACTATCTGCAATTGATAATTTATGAAAAAGGATGCAAAATAAACCCATGTCAAAGTTTATCACCACAAAGGTTGATAGCAAAAATGCGGGCATAAACTAATAATGAGAAAGCATAATAACTCGAAAATTACATGACTGGCAAGCATGAATAATAGTAAATAATATGCAGCACCAGCCCAAGCAGTTTCAGCAAAGACACCGGCTGTTCTCTTAAGTTCAGAAGTCAATGGCACCATACGGAGAAATCTTGGAATGTACTGAAGCAAAATAATGAAAAGTAAAGCCTGCTTTGTTGTGACTACATCTGAACCTTTTGAACTCTGAAGAAATCTCCACACCACAATCTGAATTCATAAACATAAAAGAGAAAAATTAAGAAAGGGAAAAAAGAATGGACTATTTTATACTCCATAAATTTTAGTTGCAATAGAACAACTTACAAGTCATTAGAGATTAAAGTTACATGTTGCCAAAGTATTCAAAGCAATTGATAACTATAAGGAACATTCATGCCACGCAAGGTGAACAAAATACTCACTTAGCCATTCAAATTCTTAGCATTATCCTGTTTGTTGTGGGTTCAGTAATAATGTTGAAAGAAATATTCAATTGGACAATTGCATTTAAGAATTTACAAGAGATGACAATTTAATTATTACTTACCGTTAAGAAATGTGGTTGGGTCTAACTTAACCCTACAAAACCGACTTGTAGTGTGATGATTGTTCATGCCATATATTGTCCGATGTGGGACTCTTAACACTTATCAATATTAGAGTTTGGCCTAACACTACCCTACAAAACCGGTTGGTAAGGTGAGGGGTGTCACTCTATATAAACTATTTCAATGCTCTATCTCCAACCAATGTGGGAATTTAGGATCTTCCTAACACACCCCTTCACGCCTAGCACTCTTTTTGAGTTTGGTGCGTGAATTTAAACGGTGGGTTGCCCAAGGTCCGATCGATAAGCTCTGATACCATATTAGAGTTTGGCCTAATACTACCCTACAAAACCGGTTGATAAGGTGAGAGATGTCACTCTATATAAACTATTTCAATGATTTATCTCCAACCAATGTGGAACTTTAGGATCTTCCTAACAACCAACAAGAGGTATTATTAACCAATAAAGACGGGGCTACTTTCACACAAAAAAAAGAGTATTCTTCTTGCAAAAGGAATATAATGTTGATGAAATAATGATGTTTGTTTTAAGGAAAACTATTTGGCAAAACATGAAATCCTGATGTCATAAAAAAAGATAATAGAGTTATCTTCACATTATGCGTCAAAGGCATCACCTCACGATTAGAGTAGCAACACTAGACATGGCTTGATGGCATATCCATGTATTTTCTACTTCTCAATAAGATTGTTAGAATTGACATTTCTCCTAGGAAAATTGCTTGCATGGGGTAGTGAAATATATATAATAAGAAGTCCTCTATCTCATTTTTGTTATTGCAGAATTCGCAATTTGAAATTTCTGCTCTGTCCAAGCAGTCATTATGCATTTGTTTCTGATCACACAATAATTGCACTTAATACTAAGTGACTCCAATGGAACTTCAGAGGAATTAGACTGTATGCGAAGAAAATAATTAACAGAACAAAAACATAATGAGTTATCCAACAATAAACCACACATCTCAAACATCAAAATGGAAGTATAGAGAATTCAGAAGAATCAACAAGAACTATCCATCCCAAGCCATAATGTCAACTATGTATTATAATGTCCTACCTTTCTAGGCTTTCCTAATGCACTGGTGTGAGGTTGTTTTTACAAATATAACCTCTACTGTTCCAGTATAGCAGAAGGATATTTACCCATTATTCTGTTTTCTTCTATATTATTATCAAATACTATTTTTAACACAGTCCTCAAAAGCCAGAATCTCTATAATTAAAGAAAGTTAATAGCCCCACATTTGATGAAATATGACTTGAACATGGTTTATAAGTGAGGGCAATCCTCACTTTACAAACTAGTTTTATAAAGTTGAGTTAGAACCAACTCACATTCTAAGATTATAAGTGTGGAATATATCTTATTATCTACCATTATTGTACTCTATTTTCAGTCTCACTAGTAAAAGTGTTTTTGGTTCACCACACCTAACCCCAAAAATAAGAATTAAATTAACAAACTTCCAGAGTATATATAAGCAGCCTGGATAATTTGGCAACCCAGAGTGAGAGATGACAGAGATGTAAGCATAGCATTAAGACAAAGGAATCATTAAAACCAAAGGAAATAATCACCGCAGCATTAAACAATAAAATAAAAAGAGATTAAATAAGGTTAAAACAATTTTATTGACCTGTGGTAAGGGCAATACTGATAAGAAATCAATGATGAAATACCGCCGTAAGTATCGCTTTGCTATTTGTGCTGGATCTATCACAAGCTCACCTCGTCCAAAAACACGAGATGATGGAGCAATATAAGCAGTACGGAATTGGAGAGCCATGTGTATAAGATAGAAAGCATCGATAAATGTCCTTAAGGTGGTAACTATAACTGCCAAATTTCGGTCTATACCAAGACAGCGTAATGAATCATTGATGACAGGGAGATAAAAAAACAGTGGGTCCACAGACACAGCCAAAATACAAGAGATAACAAAAAGCTTATTCCAGAAGAGTAAGAATTTGTCTTGAGGATCAAATATCTTCTTTTCTGAAACTTGAAGATCTTCTGGGAACACAGCCTTAGATACCCCAAATCCAAATGATCGGCCAATTGACTTCAGTCCTTCAGATCCTTTTCTCATTCCTCTTTTGAAAGACCTTGAGGTTTTACTGCTTCCATGGGCACCATGGCTTAACTTATCAATACTAAATGTTTTAACTCCAGCATCAGAAGATGAGGACAATCTAGAGTCCAAGTCATCCAACCTAGAAATATATGAAAAGAGTCCACAAAAGATATCAAAATCCGAAATTCCTCTTACACTGTTGTAAAGTGACTGCCCATTCAGAGAGAGGAACATGAATAACAAAAAAACATAAGTAGCATGGAGAAGAAATGGGGAGTCATCATCAAATATCATACTCACATATTAGTATTTATGGGTTTTAAGAGTTGAATACTACAAAATTGTACAAGTCCAAAACATACATCTCAAAATCAAATATTTATGTAAAGCATCAAAGTCTAAATACTAATAAGAGGTAGTTAAAAGATTGCTCGTCTGAAACTGGTACTAGAAAGATTCAAGTCGAAAGCCAACATCCCAAAGTAAGAGGTTTTCTGTTTCTAAGTCTAAGAATATTAGGAATCAGTGGAAAAGTAAATAGTGAATTGGCAGTATATCCTATGACACAGATCACTGACACTGCAGTGGGTGTATAACGGAATAAGTTGCCTTTGCCACTGTCGCAAATTCCTTCTTTTCCCAAAAAAAAAAAAAATACATAACTAATTTAACTTTTCCACTTCAATGATTGGTAGAAACACAAATAATAAATAATTTCAATAAACTATTGAAAATGTAAATGGAATCTGAAAGCTTGTTTTTGTCATTACCACACACGTATTTTCTTAGATTTAACTTTTTCTAAGGCAAAATAATATAGGGTAAAAAAATCGAACAACGCCAAGTCATCTTCAGAAAAACCACCCTCTAAGAACTGCACTCCAATGAAGGATCAGGCTAGAGCTCAAGTCAACTGGACCACCAAAACCGGATCAAAAACCACCGGGGAAGAAAAAAACTCTCAATTGGTAATTAGTTATTGACGAACCAAAGTCTATATGATTTAATCTAATGTCAACTAGAAATTCACATGATGATGCAAAGAAAAACAAATCAAACATTAAAGGGGAAACATAGGGGAAAATTAGTTGAAAACAAAATTGCATAAAAGAGGGAAGGAAATGTAGGAAGAGAGCATACATATAAATATTACTAACTCTCGTCTCCTTCATATCTGTAGAAGCGTGAACGATCAATGGCACTATATTACTTTCAAAGAATGATCATATAACACAGAACCTGCAAGAAAGCAAAATGAGAAGCTAATCGTTACACAGTTCATGGAAAAACCTAGTTGCAGTGTTAATAGGAATAAACATGGTGATTTGAGAGTTGATGGAGAAACCCTAACGAAGAGATGAGTTTGAAGAGGGAAAAGAGGTGTAGGAGATTGACGAAGAGAGCGAGAGATTTGTTGCAGGGGAATTTTGGAGGCGGGAGAAAGAGAAAATGGGTTGAAAATGGAGAAAGTCAACTAGAAATCAAAAAAGCGATTCATTCGTTCATTGTTGGCTCCACGTAGTAATGGAAAGGTCTTGCTATGTATTTTCCATCATTGACGCCGCCCACGAATCCATTCACCTACTGCTACTACCTACCCAATGCTACTAGTAGCGTTTCGTTACAGTACAAATCATGTATGGCAATGTATTAATCTTTCGCTAACGGTTTAGCAAATATGATATTTTATCCGTCTAATATTTATGCTGAGTATCCTTCACTTGATGTATAATGTTATTTAATTTTTTTTTTAAATAATATACTTAATTAAAATATTTATTTAAAAAAAATTAATTTCAAATTTAACATATAATAATAATTGGTTTAATGATCATGCACAAATAGTTTACCAGTTTAAAAAAATTTACATTGTCATTCAAATATAATATATCGTTTTGTCATATCATATAAAATAGTTTAAAATTTTTAGTCTTAATACATCGTCGTCATTAATTGATAGTATAAAAATAATTTACATTGTTAATGTATCATCCATTTTTTTAATAATAATAACAAAAATAAATTAGATTCATTTTATTTCTTTTTTTATCAAATAATAATGATACTAAATTCAACAAAATAATAATACCATATGCAACAAAATAATAATAATAATAATAATTTCATATTTAATAAAACACTAACCACTATTATTAGTGGTAGTGGTAGTATTATTTTATTAAATATGAAATTATTATTTATTATTATTATTTTAGATTAAACAAATTAATATTTAAATAATTTTACTAATTATTAACATATATGAATATTCGCGGATATGGGTATCATCAAATTCGTATTGGTGCCCGTAAGAAAACAGGTAACTAAATATCTGTTTATTTTATTCGTGGATACTTATTAAGATATTCAACTCGTGCCTGTGACGAGTTTTATCCATGAGTACGAATTTTTTTGTCATTCCTAGTTACAATATACTCCCTCTGTATTTTATAAGTCGTTTTTTACTTTTCAAATGTATTGAAAATAGTTTGTGCGTGGCTTTTATTTCCAAGTTCTCATGATACATGAAATCTTGATTTTCATCACTAACATTAATGTGTTTTTCTTGAAGAACAAATTATCATTTATTGTTAGAAGGATCGGCGACATAAAATAATTTGTTTAATGGCATAATGGGAGTCATATATTAAAAATTGAAGAATTGAGTTAAATAGAATACAACTAAAGTTAAGAGCCCCATAAGTACTCAAGAACGACAACCCAACCCTTACTAGAATCCAAAGAGGAATTCAAATGGAAAATCAAGAAAACACCCCAACCGCCTCACAAGAAAAATGCAAGTCAGCCCTAAACGATGTCAGGAATATTTTGAATCTCTTGACTCGCGAACCTCTATAGTGAATAAGACATCTCCATTGTACAAAACAAAAATAGGGCAAATGGTCACCCAAAACACCCATAAATTCCTAGCCACTTGAGCGGACCCCCGCTCTCAATCAACCATTTATTTTGCTTGAGATAATATGATGAATGGTTCGTTTATATAAGTTGAATGTGATGTTCAACCTGTGTGATTCCTAACTCATCGGTTTATACCCTAGTGTTATTGTTAATCCACTTGCATTTAATTAAGGCACTTTGAATACATTATAGATGCCATTACTGGATTCTTATCTTTAGAAATAGAGAATTACATGGATTCAATTTCAACCATAACCCCACTATTTTACATTGAACTATGATCATCCTTTGATTTTGTATAAAAGGAAATTTTATCAATGTTGTATGCACCCCAAGTTATTACATTAAGTTTAGGCATGTATGATATTAATTAGTTATCTCAGAATAATGAGATACATTATGACGAAAAAGTAACTTTCTTTGTTTGCCAAAATGGCAAGAATCATAAGGAGTATTATTGGATTTACAAGGTATAAAGGGAAATAATTTGGAAATGGTTTTATCCCTATATCAGAAACATGGCCTAACCTTAGATGCCACAGATTACATGATGAATTAACACTACAATTGTAAACTGAAGATTGACTGGTAGTATTAAGAACATATAGCCCTCTCTGCAATTTAGTTGTACCAATCATTTCCTTGGAATGATTTTGCAAGATTTGACAAGTATTAGCCCCAAAATGTACAAAGTAATCATTATTACTAGCAAGCTTGGCAATGGAAATGAGGTTAACATGAAAACTGAGGATGTATAAAACACGATGTAGAGTTAAGAAAGAGGAAAGAACTACACTACTAGACATGAATGCAACAATATGAGAATCGTCAGGCAAACCAACATGAACATGAATAATGCTTTTGCAATTAACAAACAAGGTAATATCATATGAAATGTGATCAGTTGCTCCAATATCCAAAATTCAAAGACAAGGATTCTTACCACTAGTGCTAGATGAATGATAATGCATAACAAAATGTGAGGTTGAAATGAAGTTGGATTGAAAGTTAAGCTTTGAGTGTTGGAGCAATTCAAGAATGTTGGTGTACTGCTCTTGAGTGAAGTTATATGAAGATGCATATGAACTTTGTGAAGAAGAATCAGAGATAACATTGATTGTGGCAGTAGGTGTTAAAACAAGATTTGTTCATGACATATATTCCTTGGATTTTGATGATAACAAAGTATTAAAATAATATTGGTTATATTTGATGTGTGTTTCATGTATGAAGGTTCTAATACTTATAGATATATATTCAGAATATGATATACATGGGCACACTTGAGAAAAGCTAAATTACTAGCTTCTAATGAAGCAGAATATGAAGAATACTCTCTGAGAGATATATGGCATAGAATTTGAAGCTGGAGGTCTCAGCATCAGAAGAAACAACATAATTGTTTCTACACTTAGTAAATATAAATTGGCTTCTGGTGATCATTCAGAGTTAATGACAAAGCTAAAGTTTTCCATACTGCATAAAGCAAGTTGCACTATCAAATCAGTTTGTTAGCTAGAGTTTAAGTTCACAAGGCTCAATAAGAGTTGACATGCTTTACAGATAGCAAATCTCAACGGATTTATAGTACATGATCTCATTAAAGACGTAACAGTTAAACATGTTACATAATGGATCAAGATCTTTTAGTGTATCTATCTTCAACGTCTCTTATACTATAGAGAAAACAAAGACATTTTATCAAGTTATCTCTCAAACACCTAGTCATCTGCAAATGCTATATAAGTATATGAAGGTTCAAACTGAATCTTTAACAAGGATCAACCTGATGGAGGAGTAATCAGATCAGCAATTATCAACACAATCGAGTATGCAGAATTTCTGTTGTAGGTTGTAATTGTAAAAACCTTAAGATTTTTTAAACATGGAATATCTTAGAAATATTGAAAGGTTTAGGTCTTTGTTATGGTGATTTCCATGTACCTCTAATATTTGTATCAAGTATACCTTATTCTCTATTCTACTGAACATGTTGTTTAGCAGTTTAGATTAAGTCTGTAACCAAGATGCTTGAGCCATGTAAGTCTCTTGCTATGTGCTAGAGCGTTGAAAGTCTTAATCAAGTAGATTGATTTAGCAATCAAGCATCTCGCCAAGATGCTCGAGCCATGTAAGTCTCTTGTTATATGCTAGAGCATTGAAAGTTTTAATAAAGTAGATTGATTTAGCAACCAAGTCTCTCTCCAAGATGCTTGAGCCATGTAAGTCTCCTGCTATTTGCTAGAGCATTGAAAGTCTTAATTAAGGGGATTGATTGAGCAACCAAGTCTCTCACCAAGATGCTTGAGCCATGTAAGTCTCTTTCTAAGATGATTGAGGGGGAAGGTGATGTTTTGGCTAGAGATGAGTCAATGGTGTGTTGAGTATCCTGACGTGTTTCCTAAGGATGGGCACAATTTGTCTTTAGTTAGAATAAGTTGATGTTATTCTTGGAACAAATTGGTTGGAGTTAAACCAAGTGTTTACCAATTGTTTTGATAAATTGGTGCAGAGTTCCGCTGATTGGATGAGTTTAGGCTATGTCGAAGCTATGTTGTTCCTGACAATAAATATGTGAATTTGAGATTCCTGTCTGTTGGCCAAGTTGGGATATCTTTAGGGAAAACAATCGGGTATTGTTAATGTTGGCTTCTCGGAGAATAAAGCATAATGTGACGGCTAGTGTTATGCTAGTGGTGTGTGATCCCTGGTGTGTTTTTTTTAAAGATAAATGTGACTTGCCTTCAGACCGCGAAGTCGAGTTCGACGAAGGTAGGGAGTTTTTCCATCCACTATGCAAGTAGAAGGATTCTTGGAAGGTGAGGCTTGTTTGTTCGCGATGTTTTCATCCCTGCAAGTCGACAGTAAAGCTGCAATGGTTGAATTTTCGATAGTGCTTGATTTTATAGATGTGCCGCCAGAGAGAGAGGTGGAGTTTTCTATTGATCTTATTTCTGGTACCGGACTTATTTTTATGGCACCATATAGGATATCGGTGTTGGAGTTAGCATATTTGAAAAAGCAATTCAAAGATTTGTTGGAAAAGAAACTTGTGAGACCAACTGTCACCTTGGGGAGCTTCGGTGTTGCTAGTAAAGAAGAAATATGGTAGTATGAGATTTTGTATGGATTACTGACAGTTGAATAAAGTAATGATTAAGAACAAATATCAACTTCCGATAATAGATGATTTGATGGACCAGCTGGTAGGTGCACGTGTTTTCAGCAAAACTGACTTAAGGTTGAGTTA